GTGGGCAAACTCCGGCCCGCGGGACTGTTCTGCCCGGCCCCTGAGCTCCTGACCCGGGAGGCTAGCCCCTGGCCCCTCCCCCACTGTCCTCCCTCCCCCACAGCCTCAGTTCACTGCGCCAGGGATGCAATGCTCTGGGCAGCGGGGCTGCGAGCTCCTGGGGTAGCACAGCTGCAGAGCTGTGCTGCGCGGTGTGTGGCTGGCTCCAGCCAGGTGGCACAGCTGCCTGTCCTGGTGCAGCCGCACTGCCAGCCACTGGTGCTCCAGGCAGCGCGGTAAGGGGCAGGGGGCAGGAAGCAGGGGGGGTTGGATAGAGGGCAGGGGAGTTTGGGGGGTGGTCAAGGGCCAGGGGTGTGGATAGGGGTCGGGGCAGTCCCAGAGGGTGGGGAACAGGGGTGTTGAATGGGGGCAGGGGTTCTGGGGGCGGTCAGGGAGAAGGGGTGGTTGGATGGGGCAGGGTCTCGGGGGGGGCAGTCAGGAAGGAGAGGGGGGGTTGGATGGGGCAGCGCGGGGCAGTCAGAGGTGGGGGTTCCCGGGCCGGTCAGGGAGCAGGGGGGGTGAATGGAGCAGGGATCCGGGGGGGGCAGTCAGGAATGAGAGGAGGGGTTGGATGGGGCGGCGGGGGGCAGTTAGGGGCAGGGGGGTCCGGGAGCGCTCAGGGGACAGAGAGCAGGAGGGGTGGATGGGGCAGGGGTCCCGGGGGGGCCGTCAGGGGGCGAGAAGCAGGGGGGGTCGGATAGGGAGTGGAGCCGGGCCACGCCTGTCTGTTTGGGGAGGCACAGCCTCCCCTAACCGGCCCTCCATACAATTTCTGAAACCCAATGTGGCCCTCAGGCCAGAAAGTTTGCCCGCCCCTGAATTATACAAACCATTTTATAAGTGGTATGAAAACTAGTTTCATTCAGCTAAATATTTTAGGCAAGTCTAAGGCAGTTCATTGCCGTTGAAATTCAAAGCCCTTTGAAAATCCAACCTTAAGCTCTAATGTTTGGGGGGAGGGAGGGAGAGAGGTGATTATAATGGGAAGGTGGAGCCCTCTGTACCTGAACCAGAACTAACGCAATTTGCCCCAAAGAGAAGACTAAATGAGATTAGAAGTAGCTGGTTTACTACAGTAAGGCCTGATGGGTCCATCAGGCTATAGAAGTTCTGTTGGGTTCTACAGCTCCAGAGACAACTCTGTCTTCTCTAGAGTAAATACCCCTCAATTGCAGCTGTAGGACAGCACAATAAAAACAACTATTAAAGCAGTTTTTTAATAATCCACACCCCTTTCCTCTTGGAGAGAGGAGGAAAAGCCAAACACTGTGGATGCTGGTTGTGTTGCTGCACTGCTGGAAGGCACCAGCCATGCTAGACAGTAAGGACAATTCTTTCTAAAGCAGCCCCTAAGTTTGGTTGCTTTCCGTTTTGGGGGGGACTGATCTGAGGCACCCTGGGCCTGATTATCAGAAGGGCTTAGCACCCCCACCCCAGCTGTAATCCCTGGGAGCTGTGGGGGTCCAGCACCTCTGAAAATGTCTGTCTCTCATTAGATTGTGAGCTCCATAAGGCAGGGACTGGGACCTTCCCTTCTGTTTGGAAAGCTCCAAGCCCATTATGGCCACTAGAACTAATAAAACAGATCTTTGTGAAAGGAAGGATGGTCTTGTGGCTAAGGCAGTGGGCTGGCTTCCTGTGTGACTTGAAGCAACTCACTTAATTGCTCTGTGCTCAATTGCTCATCTAAAAGGGGAATAATAATGCTCCCCTCCCTTGCAGCAGTGTTGTGAGGAGAAATCTGCTGTTCTCTGTGAGGCGCTCGGATACTACAGTGCCAAGCACCAGGGGAAAGTCTTTACCTAAGTAAATAGGTGCCTAGATATAGCCAACCATGTAAGAAAATGTTGGTCTGGGTGACTTACCCAAGGTCACACAGTAAGTCAGTGTAAATGATAGGAATAGGACCCAGTCCTGCTATATGGTCTCCAACTACAACCATTACACAGGCCCAGGTATCTGAAATGTGGACTTGCTTTGTTGCTCTGCCAACTAGTGACTTAGGGCTTGTTTACACAGAGCCTTAGTGCATGGCAAACCAAGGTGTGAATGTACAGCGCACTAGCTTGCTGCACACTAACTGGCTGTGTGGACCCTGCTCCTGTGCACTAAAAGTTCTCTAGTGTGCTTTGATATACTAGCAGCAACACCCAGAGACATTAGATAAAAACATAAAATGCTCATGCTTGAAGGTTGCAACATAACACTTCTTTGTTGCTTGGAATGCAGAAAACACAAGAACCCCAAAACAGAGAGAAACAAAGCAGACTGCTCCCTAAAATAGAGTGGCACAACTCACCTAGCTGGCTGCCTACAACCTGATTCTTCCCTACAGAGCCCTCTAGCCTGTCAGCAGGATCAGGGTATAAAGTGGCAGCTTGTGATTTTTACAGTTTTCAATACACCACAAGCAGTACCCCAAAGCACATTACAGACCATTTAGTGCCTGGTAGCAGGGTCCACACAGCCAGTTAGTGCCCAGCAAGCTAGGAGCACTGTAGATTTACACCCCAACTTGCTGTGCACTAAGGGCTTGTCTACACTACCACTTTTGTAGATATAATTTTTGTCGCTCAGGGGTGTGAAAAAAACACCGACATGGAGAACAGGGCAATGCTTTTTATAGATCAATTCTGTGTATTGGACTGAAAAGAGGAAGAAAGAGACCAGTGGAAAAGGGGACTGACTACGAGTGAATTTTTCAAAGAAAATGTAGGTGCTTAGGAGCCTAAGTCTCATTGAAAGTTAATGTGCCTTAGGCTTCTAAGTGCCTAAGTCACCTTAGAAATGGGATGCAGGTGCCTAAGTCACTTATGCACTTTTTGACAAATGTTACCCTACATCTCTTGAGGGGCAGAAGTGAGGAGAGAGAAAGTTGATAGGCTTCCTCTTAGAGAGGCCAGATGGTTTATAAAACATGTCTGACCAGCCTGATTAAATTTCTCATGATGGAGTGGTAAATAGGGACAATAAATGTGCTTGTCATTGTCTCCTTGCCGACAGACATGGTAGAAATTGAAAGTAGCACACAAAAAATCTGGGACACTCTGAGAGTGCCTGAGCCTAGCCACTCGGAGAGTTGTGAATGGAGCTTTTGATGGCTGTAATCTTGGCTTTTAAACAAAGCATGATTCGCCTGGTATCACTTTCTAGTTTAAAGCATTGGTGTCCCACTTTTTCATGTCAAATGTCAATGGCAAAAGGGAGAGACTGGCTGGGAGGTATGAATGGAAGTGCTGCCTTTGCATTGCTTAAGGTCCCAGAGAGGGTCATTTTTGTAATACCTCAACAGCCATTTAGCCTTCTTTGACATAACTACAGCACTGAGGTTGCTAATCGCTGCATTGCTCATTCCTCATGCTCCTCCCGTTGTCTGATGATGGTTATTTGAGAGACAACCCTATTCACTTTCTCTTTTATTTTACTAGTTTAGCAGTAAAGACAGGCGTCAGATGACTGTTGAAAGTTTAAAGAGATGCATAAACCTGAAATCATACTGCTGTCTGGAAAAAAATTATCTACAAGTAACAACTAGGGTGACTGTAACAGAAAGAGATTAGGGGAAAAGAAGTATTTTCCTCTAGTTCGTTTACTTTGTGATTTTTGTATAACATATTGTTTGTGTTTCAGTCTTCTTCAGTGCAACGTGGGAGAGAGGAACATTTTTTAATGTAGGAGAATGTAGTAGTCAAATCACACAATGGTAGGGGGATCAGAGGCTGGTGCATGCAGTGATGCAAACAGCTTTGAAATAATTTCTTTCAAGCACCTAGATTTCAAGTGGTGTTGATGGTGTTCTTTTAACTGATATTTCTTTTGTAGGCAGGGTACTATCTTTCTAAAGAAATAACCCAAATCAAGCTCAAAAGTTGATTTCCTTCCCTTTCTGAGATTTGCATGCAAACTCTCCTTTGAAAATTGGTCAGTTCAGTATTTAACATTATCCCAAATACAAATTCAATGTCTCTTATGGATGGGACTTTGTAATACTACTACTTAGTCCTTCTGTAGTGCCTTCCCTCTGGGGATCTTCCACAGATTCACAAACATGAATGCACTGATACTCAGAATACCCTTGTTAGGAAAATATTGTTGTCCCCAGGGGGAAACTGAGGCAAGGAGGGGTTACGTGATTTGCCCTCGATTATGTGACAAATCAGTGGCAGACCAGGTAATAGAACTAAGATGTCCTGCTTCCTCTGCCTTAGCCATAATTCCTTCTGTATAATCAGTACAAATGGGAAGGATAATATGCTTAAAACACAGGCATGGAGTCAGCAAGTCGGGGTCCAATTTCTGCACTGACTCCTTATGTGACCTTGGGAAGTCACCTAATTTTTCTGTTCCTCAATTTCCTCCTCTTGAAAACTTCTTTATCTCCAGGTGTGATGTTATGAGGTTTAACTCATTGTCATTTGTGTAGCACATTGAGATACTCAGATGGGAGGGCCTGATGCAGTGCAAATTAAAATACATTTCCCTAGAGTGGCAGCAAAGTCTCTGGACAGGTCTACATTACGGGGCTAAGTGAATAACGTAGCTGGAATCGACATATCTTAGGTCAACTTATTGTGGTGTCTACTTACTTCATGCTATTGCGGTGACTTACCTTATGCTTCTTGTTCCATTGGAGTACTGGAGTTGATGGGAGAGCGATCAGCGGTCAATTTAGCGGGTCTTCACTAGACCCACTAAATTGACCCTTGATGAATCGATTGCCGCGCGCTTATCCCCCAGTAAGTGGAGACAAGCCCTCTGATTAGAGTGGATGATTTTGATGTCTCACATAGGCACTCTCAACGTACCACTTCCTTGGATGGTTATCTCCACTAGTCTTTTTTCTATATATATTTTCTGTACATACAGCCATGTTCTCTTTATAAAATTTTTTAGCAGATATATACTTTTCTTCCTGTGTTGTGGAGGTTTTTATCCACTTTTAATTTTCCTTTAAACTACAGGTATGGCATGAATTGCTTGATCCAGTTTGAAGATTTTGCCAATGCCAACGCTTTCCGTCTTCTCAACAAATACCGCAACAGATATTGTACATTCAACGATGACATTCAGGGTAAGTGCCAATGCAATCCTGACCGATTCACAGGGAAATGCAACTGAGTTCACAAGGCCATTAAATATACTGAGCTCAAATTTCCTCGGAGCCTGATAGAGCTTACGCACAAGCAATAACAATGTAAACAAAAGCACAGTAATGTATTTTGAAAAGTGTGCCTGTCATTTCCAGTAATCTAGCTGCTCTGCAAATTTCTGCAGCAGTTGTCACTGCGAGAAAATGTACCATGTGTGCTCTCCCAGTGCTTTAGTTAGTTCAGTGAGTTGACTTAATTTTCTGCAATCTGGTTGAGACAATACAAATGATACTTAGCAGTTATGTAGGGCTTTTAGTCTTCAAATGCTCCGCAAGCCTAAACCTTGCAAATCCCCTGTGCTATTATCTTGCCGGTTGGCTTCCTCCTTGTATACAGCTTCTGCAGTCAGCCCCACTGGGGTAAATCCAGGTTAAATGGAGCAACTCTGGGTATTCACTAAGGAAACTAAGAGAAGAATTTTCCCCAGAAGGATTAATGTGACTCTTCCAAAACCACAGAACAGAGAGAGTGACAAAGCCGGGATTAGAACCCATGTCCTGTCTCAGTCCCAGAGCCCATAATGCCCCCTGTTTTCCTCAACATGTGGAAGGGAGTGAGTATCAGAGCTGGTGGTGTCCCAGTCTGATGCTCAGATCATTAGACCTCCTCCCTCTGTCTACGTAACAAATGCATAAACTCTTCCTTTCCTTGACAGATGCACTGCCAGTGTTTCACATGTGGGGATTTTTTGTTTAAGTCTCTATGATAAATACCCTTCCACCTATCAAGTTAAGAGCAGGATCTTCCTGTCACATTAGAAACTGGCCGCCCTTTTCCTCTCCTTCTTGTCTCCTCACCCTTTTCTTCCTTTTCTAGTCCTGACTGGCACACGCAGGAGTTTCAGAGCGTTGATCTTAATCAGCTATTTACAAACAATGGGACTTGTCCTAATCTGTGTCTGAAAAAGATTGAAAGGAAATGTTGTGCCAGTACCAGTTTCACACAAGGTCTGTCCCTACACAAGGTGCTTCCCAGAGGTATCTATGTACACACTCCTTCCAGCAACATCCTGCAATGCTGTCTAGCAGGTCCTTCACAGCGATGAAGGTCCAAGAGCGATCAGGCCCCCAGAGGGACTTTGGGGGATGAAGGTGTATGGGAGAGAGAGGTAGGATGAGCAGTCATCCTGGAAGAACCATGTTCTGAGGAGGGATTTTGTGGCGACATGTCAGACTGGGAAAGGGAGACATGTGGAGTAACAGGGAAGAAGTCCAAGTGACAAAGAGTAGGAGAAGAACACAAAAGGGGATGGTAGGTCCATGCAGCTTGGGTGGAGTGACGGAGGAAGGAGGTGAGAGCAGACCAGGAAGCAGGAGCCAAATTTTGCAAGGCCTTGAGAGCCAGGACAAAGCTTACATTTGATATGCGGGGGGGGGGGGGGAAGAGGTGTGGAGCTAGTAAAGAGATTAGAAGAAGGACTGGGCTTGGTTGGAGCACAGGGTTTTGGTGAGGGGGCTAGAGAGGATTGGGCAGACTTTTTTGAGATTTGCAAAGGGAAGAGTGGCAGGATTTGGTGACTGTCAGTGTGAGGGAAGAGAGGGAAGAGATGAAAAGGACATGGCAGCTCTGAGCCTGGGGGACAGAGCAGATGGTGTGGAGAGCCCATCTAGGGAGAGGATTAACACCCTCTCTGAGGAGACCCCACAGTTGAGTGCCTGGGAGCAAACTCTGGCTCTAACTCACCAGAGCACTGCTGGCGTGGTTCCACTACGAAGGATGGCAGGATTTGGGGGTGGCCATGCGGGGCTCTGCCAGAGCACAGGTATTGGCTGGTGCTCCTCCGTTAGGCATGTGCAGTTGCACATGTGCATCTTTGAAGATATGGCCCTTAAGAAATTGGCTGATAGGCAAAATCCCCACATGCTAAAACAATAGACACTTCCCGCTTTCCAAACTTCCTGATCTCCCCTCCAGCAAAGCACACAGCTGGGGCTGGTTGCATTGTAGCAGGTGAGGACACAACTGCTCAATCATTTGGGTAGCAGTGAGATGTGTCAGGGAAGTTAACCATTGTCTTGGGGGGTTTATGAGGTTGCCTTTTAATTGTATGTCAGACAGCAAAAGGCGGGGAGGATGAGTCCAGAAGTAATAGAGAGTCCTGTGGCACCTTTAAGACTAACAGATGTATTGGAGCTTAAGCTTTCATGGGTGAATACCCACTTCATCAGACGCATGTCATACCCACTTCATCAGACGTATTCACCCATGAAAGCTTATGCTCCAATATATCTGTTAGTCTTAAAGGTGCCACAGGACTCTCTATTGCTTTTTACAGATCCAGACTAACACGGCTACCCCTCTGATACTTAAGTCCAGAAGTATGTGACTGCATTGAAGGAAGCTTCTTCTAGGCCTCTCTACATTCAGTTACGCTCACTTGGACTCATACTGTCTTGTAATTCTCATCCCCTTACCCATCCCCTCTGAATTTGGCCACTGAGTCTAAGCCAGGATAACCTATATACCACAGAGGTGTAGCGCAGGTAGGGTGACCAGATGTCCCAATTTTATAAGGACAGTCCCGATTTTTGGGTCTTTTTCTTATATAGGCTCCTATTGCCCCTCACCCCCTGTCGTGATTTTTCACATTTGCTGTCTGGTCACCCTAAGCTCAGGTGTGGGATAAAGTAGGGGGAGTCTGACTTTAATTTATACCCTCCTGTTTCCTGCTTTTCCTGCTGTGCCCCCTCTTCTGATCCCTTTGTAGCTCAGGCCTTATCTACATTTCAAAGTTGTGCCAATTTAACTTAAATCGGGTTTTAAATGATTTAGTTAAACCAGTGCTTGGCCCTGTGTGTAAGCACTCTTGCTTCAGTTTAGCTCAAGTCATTAAGGAATAGATTTACTTCAACCTGAACCTGACTTATATGGATTTAGCTTAACAGTGTCCATACAGGGGTTTGCACAGGTTTAACAAAATCAGATTTAAAAACATGCTGTTAGCTAAAATGGTGCAACCAGGCTACAGTTGCACCAGTTCAAGCTTATTGGCCAAAGTCCCAGGGGAAATTCACCATCCGTAAGTGGATTTGAATCTAAGGCCTGGTAAACACACAAGAGTTAGGTTGGTATAGCTGTGTCGGGCAGGGTGTGAAAAACCATCTATCTGTGCTACCCCCAGTGTAGACAAAGCTACGTTGACAGAAGAGTGCTTCTGTCACCATAGCTGCCATCGTTTTGGGAGGCAGTACAGCCATGGAAAAGCCCCTTCCATTGGAGTAGGCTGCGTCTACACTGCGGGGTTGTCCCGGCTTAGTCTCTGTAGTGGCAATGCAGCCAAACGGAATCTGAGAGGATTAGTGGGTCTGACGAACGCCCATACTGAAGGTGTGTGAAGAATGTGTAAATCCCACCCCTCAGAATCGCTTCGGCCTCCCTTTCTTTGGCCCTGGGTGTCTGAGAGAAAAGACGCCATCTCTTGAAAGATTAATGCCCACCATTGTTTGGTTAACAATGCTGACTTCCTTCAGAGAGCATCCCAACGCAACACTGTGAGAGTGACTCCGAGGATAAAAACCCTTCCCCCGCCCTGTCCAGACTGCTAACGCGGAGTGGGAAGTTTGCCATGTATATATCACAGACTGGGAAGAGGTGATTGTTTTTATTACGAAACCCATTAGCCCAGGCCTGAGGCAGGAGCTGGCTCACAGTGCCCGGCTGTGTGGGAGTTCCCCATTCAGGGACTGTTCCTCATTTCTCCCCGGGGATGATGACATCACTCCTTTCCCAGCCCAGTCTCGGTTCATTCATGGGGCAGCAGCTGGGATTTCAGCTACAAGGGATTATTTTTTGCCTGTTCCCTCACCCCGTTGAAAAGTCAGGGATGCGCTGAGCAGCAGGATGTCTGACTGGAGAGGCATCAGGAATATCCTACCCTTCTGTGGTTTGTGTACTTCCCTTACCCACAGACAATGGGGAAGAGAAAGGAGACAATTCAGAACTCCTGCAGTGGAATAAATCTTGTGCACTATTGAGACAGGGCTCCGTATGTTTCTGCCTCATCACTATATAGAGGAAAGCACCTGTTGAATTAAGCAGGAGCCCATCGGAGCCCTGCCTCATGCAAATCTGCCCAACTCTAAAGCTACATGGCCACATGCCTCATTCACTGTGCAGTCAAGAGCTTTGTCTCATTCAACTCAGCCTTCTAAAGTGTGTGCTGAAGTGTGTGATGATCCAGCGCCATCCAAACCAATAGAAGTCTTTCTGTGGACTTGAATGTGGGCAGTCTGGCTTACACCGCTGAAATTTTTGTGCAACCAGCACACAGTTTTCCATGTCTTGGAAAACTTTACACACCAATGGATTAAAGGAACAGGTCTTGCCAGGGGCCCTTGCTTCAGTAAAGGTACTCGTCACATGGAACAGTAGCTCCACTTATTTGCTGCAGATCAAGAATATGGATGACTTTTGTGGGCTCTGATCATCTGCCATGCCCAGAGCAGTACCTAGTAGAATAGGTTGCTGTGCAAAGTGTATCTACAATTGCAGAAAAAAATTATGATGTGCTCTTGACAAGTAGTATTTGATCATGTAATTAAGGGACTAGATCATGCATATAGACAAAGGGGCAGAGATAAGGATGCATGGCTGTCCCTACTTTGGCATTTCCTTACTTTTGAGTAACTTGGATGTTCTCGTTACATTAGTTTTTTGATGGAATAATAATATTTACTAAGATTTTTCAAAAGTGACAATTGATTTTGGGTGCTTCTATTTCTGGGTGTCCTTATGGCCAGCCTGATTTTCAGAAAGAGCAGCACACCCACCCTCTGCAAATGAGACCTCTTCAAGGTGTCTCAGGATGAAAACCCCAAATCACTAGCCACTTCTAAAAATCTTGGCTATTTATATAAAGCAGTTGCACAATGAAACTGAAATGCACTCTGTGCACAGGGATCATTTCATTTCTCAGAACTTC